GCCAACGGTCGTTGATGAAGTTCGCTGCGGAACCTACCGCCAACTCTTCCATCCTGAACAACTCATAACTGGCAAGGAAGACGCTGCTAATAACTACGCACGCGGCCACTACACCATCGGTAAGGAGATCGTAGATCTGGTCCTGGACAGAATTCGCAAACTGGCCGATCAATGCACCGGCCTCCAGGGCTTCTTGATCTTCCACTCTTTCGGTGGAGGTACTGGCTCAGGTTTCACCTCTCTTCTGATGGAACGTTTGAGCGTCGACTACGGCAAGAAGTCAAAACTGGAGTTCTCTGTCTATCCGGCTCCCCAAATCTCAACTGCTGTTGTTGAGCCTTACAACTCTATTTTGACTACGCATACAACACTGGAGCATTCGGACTGTGCCTTTATGGTTGACAATGAGGCAATCTATGATATATGCCGGTAGGTTGATGTCCATTTCGTTTAACGCGACTTTTTAGGCGCAACTTGGACATTGAGCGTCCGACATACACTAACCTGAATCGTCTGATTGGACAAATTGTGAGCTCAATCACTGCCTCGTTGCGTTTCGATGGTGCTCTGAACGTCGACCTGACTGAGTTCCAGACGAACCTGGTTCCCTACCCACGCATTCACTTCCCTCTGGCCACGTATGCACCCGTGATTTCCGCAGAGAAAGCGTACCACGAACAACTGAGTGTCGCTGAAATCACCAATGCATGCTTCGAGCCGTTCAATCAGATGGTGAAGTGCGATCCACGACGCGGCAAGTACATGGCTTGCTGCATGCTTTACCGTGGCGACGTTGTCCCGAAGGATGTGAACGCTGCCATCGCGACAATCAAGACGAAGAGGACAATTCAGTTTGTGGATTGGTGTCCAACCGGTTTCAAGGTGGGCATCAACTACCAACCGCCGACTGTGGTGCCAGGCGGTGATCTGGCGAAGGTTCAGCGAGCCGTCTGCATGTTGAGCAACACGACGGCAATTGCGGAGGCCTGGGCACGTCTGGATCACAAGTTTGATCTGATGTACGCGAAGCGTGCCTTTGTGCATTGGTACGTCGGTGAGGGTATGGAGGAAGGAGAGTTTTCGGAGGCCCGTGAAGATTTGGCAGCCCTGGAGAAAGACTATGAGGAGGTTGGCGTTGATAGTGTGGAGGCCGAGGGTGAAGAAGAGGGCGAGGAGTACTAATCTCTTACATGTGTCACTTGAACTGTTGTAATCTTTGGCATTTTCTTCGGTAATTAAATGTTTTTTTCGCGCCCAATTTTCTTTTTCTATTTCCTTCTCTTCAGGAATGCTAAGTCTCAATCTTCCGTGTACCAAAGTTCTATCTAAATACTATGGGTCCTAAGGACAGCGTCCTGATAGTCAGACGATTTCATTAAACTTGTTCGAAGGACATAAATGCGGAGCCTTTAACACTAACAGAGTTCGTACTGCATGACTGAAAATGTATTTTTCGCATTTGAATGTGTTCGCCACCTTTTGGCGCAGCAAGTATACTGATAACCTGAGAGACATGTACGCCTTACCGTCGATGAAACTGAAATGCACAGTTCGGGGTAAACTCACTTGGCGCCATATCTAGCAACCTAGTAATTTTTAGATTCAGCACTTACTTGGAGAATATGGTATTGGCACCCCTAAAGTCTCTTGAACTCGATTCCAGGAATCCGATATTCCACAGTACAATTTGAATGGTCAGCTTATCGATGCCCGCGAAGGTGTCCAAGCATTTGGATCCGCACCAGGGTTACGCGTTGACCGGAAGTGCAGTCAGTCGGAATGGAGATTTCTTCCTCAGCTTAGGCTAGCATTCAGAGGGCAGAAGCAACATACCTCATATTCCGGAAAGGGAAGTTGCCCGCCCAACCGCCTGGCGTGTTAAGATATGTTGCGTCGAAGGACACTATGAGGCACTAAGGCTCACCCACCTACGGGGATCCGAGCGGAGGTTGCTGTTGCCTGATACATCTGGAGCGCGGAGCAGATCATGCGTGTGGCACGCGCAAACGAACCGTTTGGCTTTATCAGCCACTGCATCAGGGGTCAATTACGGTCGTTCTGATATTGTCTGCCCATGTGAGCAATGTGGGTCATGGATGGAAGAGTGCAGTAGGTGCTGAGCAAGTCTGCGTTGATGTACCCTTCCGCGGGGCACGCGGTGGACTTTATCGTTTGTGGCAACCGAAAGATCGTCTGCAGGTATGACAAAATTTTATGAGAGAGTTTGGACAGCGCTGTTTAACTGAATATTTTCGTGAATATTCATTTCACCGAATAGGCTCGTACTATGAACGAATGATATGGGGCAGCGTTGGCATGTGAGGCGTGTGTCACAGCAGCACCTGGTTGACAAGCCCCAGAGTCAACTGGTGAGAGGAGGGAGTGAGGTCGACACTGATTAATCCATCCCCACGACACATCAGCGCATTCCTCACTGTCATACGTATCACGTGGATGGATCTAGCACGACGCGCTATAAGTCGTGGCTTGGAGGGTTACTAACTGACGGAATGACCCGATCCTTGAGGGCAGTTCTGTATGTGTTCCAACATACAAGCATATTCCCCCCACCACCTTCTCCGCTTTAAAAAGTCCTACGGAGAGAGCGACATGCAATTGCGTAGGCGGCCCAGGCCAACTCGGTCGCTCTTCTGCTAAACAAAGCCGTGACCCATAGTGAAATTCTACAGCCGTCTGTAATGCCTAAGAAGCCGTTGTTAGAGACAATACTGCTATTCCCTCGCGGGGAAGGATCTGTAGAAGGTGCTATAAACAAATGCTGAAATCATGTCATCTGCTCAGAGACCGTGACTCGCAGATGTAAAATTAGTGGTCGAAGCAATCAAACAAAAAACAGCCCTCTTTGCCATCTCCACAGGCTGTCCGAGTGACACTGGCCGCTACGCAATGGGCTAGCAGGTGAACTGACAACGTGATGTATGATTCGTAAGTGCGGTCTCAGTAGGGGCAGGTTGGAACTGACTCCGCACCACCGGCGAAAGGGGTACTTGTGGCGACTGTTGCAGGAGAACAGGACTGTGCTCACCAGTGAAGTCAGGTAATAATGGTAGGGGTTTTGGTGGTGGCGGCAGCGTCAACGGTGGTGGGAATTTGTGGAACCACAAACGACTTAGTGCTTTTGGCGTCGCGCTGGATCCACAGATGTCCAGCGGAACGATGCATGTCCGAAATGTTCAATGACGGTGTGAACATGATTGCGGGGCTGACTCTTGAATATTGCCACTATATTCGCTTTAACAGCAGGTAGCTGACTGGCCTGGAAAATATTTACTTCAGTCACATCACATCTGCTTGACGCAGTGACATCTTCGTACAAGAATCGCGTGTGTAGATGCTCGCCATCTATCATCACGACATGATCGCTCTAGTGCAGTCGTTAAACGCTCCAGTATGACGCGGATGCATTCCACGACCTCGGTGTCTAGGATCCATTCCGGCTACTTCAAATTCAGTATGTTACATGGTATGCTAACAAGAATTTGTGGACATTGATTGTAGAAACTCCCGATAGTGCATTCATGCGTTGATGATGAGCAGTTGGCCATCATCTCGGCAGTCGGTGCTGATTCCTCACCGCTGCTCACGGTAGGCGTCCGTCAACATGGCGGAGCACATGAGACTTATATAGATGGATTAGGGACGGATACACAATCCTGCGTCGCCCCATTTTTCACTAGGAATACTTCCGTCAGTGCTTTCTCGTCTATGGGGAGCGCCACTACTTCGACGTGTAGGTGTTCTGCTACCTGCAGGAATCGCTCAGGACATACGAAATTCGGCATGATTTTCCAGATTCCGTTGCGGTTCACTGTGTCGAAGGACATCGCCGAATCCATGAATGTGATGCAGAAGATGGTCCACATTTCTTGGCATTCCGCCTTGTTGGTGGGTGGTGAACGGCGGAGTTCATATTGACGTTTCCGTTGTTCCGTAGGAATCCGTATTTATTTCGGGAGGAATACCTTGATGAAGTTGTACGTTCGAGTAAAAGTGCATTGATGTGGTTACGGAGAAGCAGGCCTCTGTGATTACCACGATTTGTTGGTTCCACTCGCACTTGTGTGTGTGCAGAATGTGTTGGCATTGTTTGAATTTGGGGAATTCTTTCTTGCCTCCGAATCTTCTTGAGCACGGTAATAAAATTGTGAATGGTAAGGTGCGAAGTATTAGGTTTCTTTGCCTCGATTTCGTACTGGAGGAGTTTTATCAAGGTGACGACTTTGTAAATCTTCAGTTTCGTGCTTCACGGGATGCCGTGACAATTCCAAATGAAGCTTGCTAGCCAGGCAATTAACTGACAGGCTTTGGAAGTGCAATTTCTGATATGGTCATCGATTCGGACGTCAACTGCGATGCTGCTTTCCACGTACGCGAATGTATCAACTGGTGCGAGGCGAGTTCTGCTCTCACTAGTAAGGCATGCCTTGTGATCAATAATTGGCGCCAGTCGCTTCACGATCATTACCTCCCCCGCACTCATGACCGGGCTGAACTTTTGGCGCCGGAGGCGAAGCGGTCCACATTGTGCCGCGCGCCCGCCTCCCTCGTTGCACTTAGCTCGCAGTCATTTGCAAACGAGATCTTGTGGACACCGGCCTTGGTGACTCTCGAAGGCGTCTTCATGTGTCCAATAATGAGCAGTTGTCCATCAGTCCACCAGTTGATGCTGATCCCCGCCGCGCCTCAGGGTTAATGACCACATCATGGCTGAGAACCTGGGGTTGAAGAGATCGGAAACGAGTTGGCAATGTGGTCATTGCATATGCTTCCGATGACGTGCGCCACCATCCCATCGTGTAGTTGGCTTATTACCTGCGTGAATCTCTCTGGACATACGAATTTCAGCATGATTTTCCGGATTCCATTGCAGTCCATTGTGTCACAGGACATCGTCGAAACCATGAAGGTGATGCAGATGGTGGTTCGCATTTCTTGGCACTTTGTCTTGTGGTTGGTGAGCGACGAAGTTCTCATTGATTCTTCCGTGGTATTTTCGATATCCAGTGTCCGGTAGAAGCTAAATTCCGTCTCCATAAACCGCATTCTACTTTCATGGGGAATCTCTGCTCCAGATGCCTGCTTGGGACAACAATTTGGGCTCAGGAAAATAATTTGGCATCAATGCTGCGTAGAGTGATTTCCCCGGCTCCGGTCGCAGTTTCGACGCCTTTATTGATTTTTCTCTTGGCACAGGTCACATGTAGGCTGTATTTTCTAGACAACAGACGAGGATTTCCTCAAAGTTACCATTGAACCAATCTTGAAGCCGTTATTTCACCCGGCCGAGGACTTTCAGTGAGGTGGTCTGGATGACATCCCACAGTTCCCATCATTTGGTCACAACGGCACCACACTCTTCCAGCATTTGTGTTTGTCCGAATCTGAGATTCAGCGCGATTGTTAAAATTCACTAAACGCTCAACCGTATCAAATTTCACAGTATTTACCCCACCTTGTGTTTTACTTTACGGTCGCCTGCAGCATTGCGATTGCGGCCTCATCTTGGGAAGAACCTGATGGTGGTCAGTTCGACAGTTTGTGCCCCACATTGTCCGCTGATCATGTCTCCGGACGAGAACGTGGTTCATCTAATGCCAGTAACGAGAACAGGTGTATATCCACGTTTCTTCCCTTCGGTACAGAAACGGAAGAAGGCATTTGCCGGAGGAACACTTATTCTGTGCAGGCCTGCGGGAGAAGAAGGCAACTCCTGTAGCAGGGGACCTCTCTAGTAGCCTGTACTGTGCCGGTGCGGGCTTTGGAGTCACCAAGGGCAATCACTTTGGGCTATTACCGTGACCCAGGAGAACACTTGGCCTTATCTCCCAAGGAACCTCTGCCGTTATGATGACAGTTCGATCGTCGCCAGTAGCGACGTCCACCGTGTGCCCCAAATCTCGATGGACGAGGTATCGGACGTGAGGTAATTTATGATGAGGTAGACTAACGCAACATCCACCGCACTATCTCCTCCCTAACCTACCAGTCTCCGACGGCAAGACAATGTCAAGCCGACTGGAGGTAGGCTCCGACGCAGTGGTCCACAGGGCTGAACATCCCGTCTACGCTTGTCAGACACGACCTTCTTCTCGCACAGTGTACCAGGTTTTTACCGAAAAAGGCTCAGATCTCATATTTATGAGTGTCATAGAGGTCGCATT